AGGAATGCATTGAAAAAACCTTTTTTAAATCTTATCCAAACTTATGTGGAATCATCCTCAGGTAGTGTAGATTCAAGTTTGATCAAATCATGACCCCCGGGGTATGATGGAACCACAATGGCCGACCAAAATTTACATAGGAATGCATAGGAAAAAAACCTTTTAAAAATCTTCTTCAGAACCATTAGGACAGGAATGATTAATCTCATGACATGATGTGGAAGCATCCATAGGTATTAAATGTAGATTCAATTTGTTCAAATCATGACCCCTGGGGTTAGGGTGTGGCCACAATGAGTTATCACAGACTTGCATGAGAATACATAGGAAAAAGAATCTTCTCCAGAACAGAAAATATTGTTTTGTCAAATTGACATGATCTGCAAGTAGTAAGAATTTAAAATTTATTCAAATAATGCCCTGGGGATTGGGGTTAGCGAGGGGTCACAATGGGAGATCAGGTAATGTGTTGGAAAAAATCTTAAAAAGTCTTCTTTTCAAGTATGGCAAAATAATATACGCATGCTGTATTGTAATAGTGACATTTTCAAGTAATGGAAAATTCAAATCCCCCTCCCCCAATAAGTATAAAGTAAGCTTCTCAATACTTAACTGATCTGTGTTTTTAGCTAGCCCATTTGCTCAGGTGAGGGATGTGGTCAATGGACCTCTTGTTTCATTCATTTTATTTTAGACAAATTTGAGTTGTTAATGTATTGCTGAAGTATTTAATTTTCATATAATTATTATAATATATGTGTTTGCCTCTCTTCTTTTTCAGATTGGAAAAAGAAAGAAGATTTGTAGCATTGTATTGAATGTGCCTGATTAAAAGTATTAATGGATGAATTGGTGTTTTTCTATTTTTCTTCAGAAAATTTGAAATCGGAGGCAATGCTTAGAATTTTAGCGATTTCTTTGAAAGAGCTGATGGGCGCTTTTATCCTTTTGGATATATTCAAATTGAAAAAAAAAGTGACACCAGGGATGAAGTCAACATGCAAGCCTAGCTTTCTGCAGCGCTGCAAGGAAAAGTCCAAAATTGATGAGCTTCTGGTGTACCTTTAGAAAATTAATTTTGATTACATGTAGGATCAGTTAAGCTTCTGCTATGATGCAGGAACATGTATTTTTCTGGAAGAATAGGAAGGATAATTCCAAAAAAATGCACACAATTTTAATGCATTTTAACGTTAAATTAGTGTGAACTAATTAACGTTAATTCAACTCTTAACGTTAATTTAACATGAAAATAACGTTAATTTAACGTTAATTTTTTAACGTTAAATTCATGTATAAGCTCGATTGACGTTAATTTAACGTTAAATATTTAACGTTAAATTAACGTTATTTTCATGTTAAATTAACGATAGGCACAATTGGCTGTGCACCCGGAAAAATTATCGTAGAATCTTGCGAGTCACGTGACAAGACTTACAGACCCTATTTTCTTAGTTTTCACATACTGTGTAAACCATTTTCGGGAATGTTTACCTAAATTTTCTCAGATTTTTAGTAAGATGCAAAATAAAAAAAATATTTTTTAATGGCCGTTATTTGGATAAATAATGCGTGAAAAATAATCATTCATTACACACTCGTGTGGGATAGTGAAATTCCACATCGCTGCCAAGATTGACGGTCTAGGACTCGGCAAAGCCTCGTCCTAGACCGTGAATCTTGTCCCCTCGGTGGAATTTCACTATCCCACACTCGTTGTAATGAATGATTCTATTAATCCCAGTGAACTTTGTATTAAAGTCACCACTGAATGTGCTACAACTGTTCCATATTTGAAAGTTTTACATAAAGGCCAACGGAAACTATACTGTATTAGAAAAGAAATGCTTTCTTCTTCATCTTTTCCAAGGTGAACTTTCCGTATTTGTAAAGTAATACTCCGTTGATGGTACGACTTGTAAATCGTTCCATTATCATACTTTTCCTTGTTTTTCAAATTCAAAAATATTGTTTTTTCTTTTTTAAATCATGTCATTCACATTCGATAAAATATAAATGTCGAATTATTATTTAGACCCATTGCGAAACAATTTATCATCGAAAATTTTTATGCTTACAAATTTAGGTAAAATTGAAAAGGAAAGGTCAATGGCTTGTTCTTGTGAAGATGTATCTCGCATGTGCTCCAAGAGCGCTTTACAGTATCTTGAGACTTAAGTGTCTAAAAAGACATGCAAGCTCGCAATTATGCAGCAATTAAAAATCGTTTGTGGATTTAAATATTAAAAAAAAAGTTATCAATATGTCCATTAGTCTTTATCTAAGTCCAATGCATTACATTTTTTTTTTTGAAATAGTTGTTTGCCTTTGCTACCGAACTTTCTATACCGAATGAAGATATCAATATATATGTACGAGCCTGAATTTATCGTGATTTCTCATACCATGACTATTTTGGTCAAACCTGCAAGTAGAACAGGTTTTCTAAAGGACCAGAAATAAAGATTTCTCTGATTAATGAGGCATGAAGTATCATTTTTACAAAAAAGGGGGGGAAGGTCCAAATTCGAGAATCCTATTCGGTAAGAGAGGTTGAATTTTAAGTTTTAAGAATTTTAATAATACAATATCAAATAATCAATTTGAATATGCTACAACGAAAAAAGTGTACCATTAAGATTGAACAATCTTCTCATAATTTTCTTTTTATTTATTTATAAATGATTTAAAATACATGTGAAAATACTAAATTTCTTTCCTTTTAGATCTGAAAAACCATTATAATCTTTTACACATATGCACCGGGGTAAGTGAAGGACCCATACTAGAGGGTGACCTGGACCTCTGTTGTGGTAGCCGCGGGGTTTGATGGAGTATTTTTATATACAAATTTCCACTGCAATAAGAATTATAAATACAAGTATAAATTATGGTACATGTATTACTGTATCCAGGGAAATTTTTACCCCCGTTTTATTTTCGCCCTCGTCAGAAGTAGGTGAATATAAATCGGGGGCGAATTCAAATTAAATAGAATAGAATAATATCTTTAACAAAAATATTCCTGGGCGAATTTAAAACCGGGCAAACGTGTTTCCAGATTTGAAAGGCCAAAATCTAAAAATTTGAATGGGAAATGGGAAAAAATAAGTTAATTAAATTTATATGATACATGAATGTCAAATATTCTTTGCAGCTCTTTAAAATGAATATACATTAGTATTTACCAAAGAGGAATTGTATTAATTGTATAATATTATTTCATTTAAAACTTTTTGTCGTTCGAGAAATAAATAAAGTAAACAGTAGAATTTAGTCTTGATCATCAAACCGCTTCAATATGTGAGAAAAAGGGATGCGTCTAAATGATGGAGACGATAGTCGAGAATATTTATAAAAACTTGTAGTCTGATGAAAATCGAATGAAAAAGATATCCTTTTAACCTTTTATCAATACCTCAAGTAAATGTTGGCTGCATAAAATAAAAATTGAAATCAGACACATGCACCACTTATATTCAAAAATAAATTTCACTTTAAGAATTATAAAAGACGAATTGTTTAGAGGACCTTTTTATGCGATAAGTAAAATTCGATGTTCTAAAGAAAGGGACCTGTCGTTTTTATGAATAGTAAATGATAAGCAATTTTTTACTCGTATATCAAATATAAAACACATACATATCTTTACAGATTCACTTTATACAAGTAAATACGAGGGCCGTTCAAAAATTACGCGGACTTGTTGCACAGAAAACATATTTGACGACATAGTCGGGCAAAATGTCACGCATAATAAAAAAGAATCTTTACTTATATGGTCTTCAAAATTTCATATCAAAATGTTGCAAATTGGTATCAATTTTGAGTGATTTTTCAGGACATATCATTAAGTCACGGAGCAGCAAAATCTTCGACGTCACGGGCATTATAAAAAAACATGTGATTGAGCTTTCATTTTCTCAACATTTTCCCTAGAGTACCTGTACAGTTTGAGTTACCTTATCCCCTTAGCATCAAAACACCATTTCTTGTCAAGCTTAAAATATATTAAACAAGTAAAGAATATTTTTTTTTGTTTTTCAAACCAAAAACTGCAGGTATTTATGAGATATAGCGTTGCATTGGTCACAATGCTCTCAATCACGTTCTGTACAGTCTGGATGAAGTTTTCGTCGATAATCTTCTTCCCGTCCTCCTGTAGAGCCTTTTTACAGAGGTCTAACGGTCTAAAATTTCAATAAGCTATTTGTGGACGAATGTCACGAATACCCTAGTTTACTATATGTTTTATTATGCATATTTTGGATTTATGTTGGCGATATCTCGAGCATTACACATAATTTAACAAAAGTGTGGTGCGCCGTCAATTCCGGAGACGTCATTTTCACAGTCATTTTTACGGGAATCACATCAGAGAAAAATCACAATATCTCTGTTAGTACTTCAAATGTCATGTCAGAAATCTAAATACATAATAATAGAACAATTTAAAGATACATTTGAGAAAATTGTCGAAAAATATCGCGAATTATAGAAAATTAATGAGTTAAATTTTGGATTCCGCATGCTTTTGCTTCAATATTTTTGTCGTGCTCCGTACCTCTCCATCCGCGATATCAACATACCGATAATTTTAGTACAATTTTTCTAAAATACAAAAATTTTGTCCAAAATTTATTGGAATCGTTAAGATACATATTTCTGTGAAGTTTCATAACTATATGACGTCTATAAGAGTAAATAATAGCACAGTCCGCGTAATTTTTGAACGGCCCTCGTATATTATGTATCTCGTAATTTATAAAGTACAAAAACCTTTAAATTAACAATCTTTTTAATGTTTAGAAAACCTTTAATTCTGAATAACTTGTCACAACTCAAACACCATACCCCAACATTTAAACTTATATGTTTAGAGCAACCCGGTCCTCCGGGCTGCAATTAAGCTATTTCCTCAAATAAAATGATTGAAACTTTACTAAAGCATATTGACATAAAAGAGTAGATTGTATTCAACAGTATATCTATCATTTTTGTCAATTGTAGATACAAGCTACTAGATGAAGTAACGGAAGCAACAATAGTTTTCTTGCGAGAAAAGCATTTGCTCCTTGAGAGCTCACAGGTTGTAATGGACACTCATCGAATTCATCAGTGATGTCAGTCTCCACAAAAGAAACATCCACTGCTGATCTTTTAGTAATTCTGCCAACGGGTGGTAATCTAATACTCATATTTGAATTCTTAAGTGGGGCACAGTCGATAGAATGAAAAGTTCTGTTAAAACAAATCCGTATCTCCATAAAATAATCCTGAAATTAAGCCATATGCATTTACTTTATAATATAATTTTATATACCTTTGAAAGGTAAAAAAGAACTAGGTCAAACAAATCATAAACATGACTATCTTTAGAAGATGAATACTATGTACCTGTTTACTATTTAAAAAGCATTATATAAATCTCATATTAGTTTTCATATGAAATTTTTTTTTTTCATTTTTTTCTTTTCATGAAAGATGCCTATTCATTTTAGACGAGTATTACTGTAACATTTTTAAAGTGATACTAAACCTTATTTACTCTGTAATTTGAAAAATGATATCAGATGTACTAAAAAAATATATATGATCGCATTGTAAAAAAGTTTTTAACTTTATTCTTAAAAACACAAATGGGATTGTGTCTTTAATACATGGAATATAAAATTTTAAACTACATTATAAACACTATAAACGATGCCAGAATCGACCTTTAACAAAGAAATTTATCATTCAAATAGTACAAGCTTAAAATATTTTAAACATTTTGAGAACATTACATTAGCCGTGTTTTTTAAATTCTTTTCTCACATTCACTGTTTTTTTTTTAAATTGGTATCCACAGTTTAGGGAATTTAGTTTTTAAACAGATGTATAGAAAATATCATGTATAATACGAACCCTAGCTCTGTTGTCGTCAGGTAACTTTGCCTAAAATATACACATTTCACAACAAAAATAAAAGATAACAACTACAATGAATTATAAAGAAAACGGAAAGCATGCACAAAACAACAAGTGTCGGGAGAAGAGCAAATGTTGATCTTTTAAATCATCATAGGTTGAGATTAGTGGCATGCATGAGTAAGGAATGTCGACTGGTCCTATATGCTCTCTGTCTGTTTATAATATATTCTCCATGATATATTATCCATAAATTTGTAATTTATTTGCATTATATTTGAAAGTGTTCATACGCAGAACATGCTAAAGTTTGGTACAAACCCTGCAGGCGATATATACTAATAGCCACTTTTTACACGATAAGATGAAGAGAAGTTATCGATGAAAAGTTTGTCATCAAGTTTTTTATGCTTAATCGTTAGATTACCTTAAAATTTCTAAGGTAGATATCCAGATATCTTGTACATATATCAACCTAGTTCCACGGTGTTTTTGTTCAAAGTTTGATACGACATATCAAGTTGATATATGTATCGAATAATTTTATTTAAAAAGTAGAATGTCGAGACAAAACATCTTAATATCAAGTTGAATGTTAGAGCCACGGCAAGTGTTTTATTTTGATGAATAGGTTTTCAATAAATTTTACTGCATATGAATACAAATAAAATCAAACAATTTAATAATGGGATTTCCTTTATAATTATTCTACATAAATACAGTGTTTGAAATAGTGTTTTATATTCTAAGACATTATTTGATACATGTTATCATAATAAAGCATTTAATACATGGCAACTTACCCTGTATACTGCAATTTCTATTGTCTGGTTTGGTATAATGCATTGCGATAAACTCTGAAATTATGATAAAAGTATTAGCATGTAGTGTCTGTTATTACCACAAACACCTCCTTCATAACAAGGGAAGCCTAGTTAATTATAAAAGGGAAAAAAATCATAATTGGGACCTTATCCTCTAACACTTTCTAATTGGACTGGGGGATACTTTTGTGTATGTTGGGATAATGTGGCACCAAAAACTGGTTTTCTTCTTACCTGCCCCAAAGCAGGGAGGAGGGCGTGTTGATATGTAATACATAAGTAGATGTGGTACATTCATGTAAGTGTTCTTAAGTAACATTATATGAAAACATCCGTGCTACATGGCCTGTCATGGCTGTTCCCACCTCCACGTCCCACAAGAAGGAGGAGGCCATAGTCTGATAAAGTCAATGGGTACACCAGGTGGCGCTGGAGAAAGGCAGTCCCTCATACACTGGTTCATAACGTTGTGATCGTTCGGTGCGGACTCTTGTGCTTACACTCGGCCCCCCTGTGAGCCCATGGCAATTTTGTTACATGACAATTTATCATTTTACTTGTCCAATGCTCTTATTCTCAGCAATATTTTTATAATATTTTAAGAATAAAACAAGCTAGCAGTTCTGACTTTTGTCATTAAAATAGTTTAGAACTATTTTTCCCCGAGATACTTTCAAGGTCTAATGTTATCATATATTTCTTACTTTATTTATACATACACTATAAAATAACAAAAGACAGCATAGGAAAAATGCACAGTCAAGAAAAAATAAAAGCATTCATAAGAAATGCGCACTGTGAGACTCGAACTCATGATCATTATGTCTTCAATCCAGCAATCGGAAGGATAAATTTAACACAGATTGTTGAATCTTAAATTAATTTTGAGAAGAAAAATTAAATACATATTTTCAACATTTCTAATACAAATACCACCTTTAATCAAAATTATCTAAATGTAATGAAGTGCAATCATATCCAAATAAAATTTTGTAGAAGTTGTTTTTCTGGTTAAAAGTGGTCTTTTGCTACAGTTTGTCATTGTTTAGTGGGATACCACAGTATTTACTACATTTTACATAAATACTGAACGATTTTTATATCTATCATAGGGATTTATCAATATTTTAAGATTTTTTTGTGAGATTTGCATTAAGGCATGTATTAACAAATACTGCATGACAATATATTGGTTAAACAATGTACATGTACTTAAAAATCACTAGTGGATTAGGCAAAAGTGACTATCAAATGCGCTATGGCTCTTTATATTTTTGTACTAAAAAGCAAAGTGTTATAAATTCTCACTGTGATTTAAAATTTTTACTATTCTTTGGCACATTTTTCATAAAAAAACATATCATACTTCAAACTGAAGTATACATAAATACACAAATTATAAAATTTTATACAATGTAGTGTGTCGCCTTATGACAAACGGATGATAATGTCAAAGTGTCTTTCCCTTTTGCTAATAACAAATTGGATAACTCCCTCTTAAATTAAGGAATTCCACTGATGCACATACGTAATCGAGTTTCCCTTAATTCTTCAAAAACTGTAACAGTCAGGAACCCATCTCGAACACAAAAAGGATCTTGTGAATATTTATTTATTTATATTAAAGTTATGAACAATATGTTATGTTATATATTGACTATCAACATATACAGCGACTTTCCTTTTCCTGTCGATATGACTTTTTGCACATGTGAGAAAAAACAAAAAAAAATATGTACAAATTGACTTCTATAGTTTTCATACGAAAATACGAGTCGGTTGGTGTAAAAGTAGTTGTAGTTCTACGTAACTTAATGTATATTCATGAGGCGAGAAATACATATATATATATTGATACATGTATTGATAACGGCAAATTTCAAAAATTAGGCTTTGTATCCATCAACGAAATGCCTTTGAAATAACTTGAAAGTATTTGTTAACTATGAACATATTATTTTCAAAGATCGAAACAAGTGTACTTTTATTATTTTGACTCTACAAAAATCTCCTCTAGGGTCCACGTGTGTTTACATGTTGTTTATTCAGAGTCCAGATCAGCAGCAATAGCATGTGTTTATATATAGTCACCGTCTTGAAACGGAAACATTACTTACATAATAAACACAAGTTGGTGATTGGGATTCAGCAAACATACATGGACAAAACGCTCATATAAATCACTTCAGGTTTGTTGAACAGATTTTTAAAAGAATAATTTGTTATTTGTTTAATGTCCCATTTGAAAACTTCTCATTCCAAGAGAGGTGCTATTTAAAAATATTGGTGCATTTTACAATCCTTTTATCCAGTTCCTCTTTTATATGTGTCACAATCTATGTGTGTTATTTTTCCAAAAAATGATTAGCAAAAAAATTAATCTGCTTAATTTGCCAGTTGGACAAGATTTGATTCTATATATATTAGAAATTTAAAATTTAATAAATTTTACATTGTACAAGGAGATTACAGATAAAATTTGTCCACCTTCTTTATCTTAAACAATGTGGAAGATATGATATGTTCAGAGTAAAAACATCAAATATACACAGAGAGAGAGAGAGAGACATCAATTACTTGCCTTAGTGGGTAACATGAGTCAGTATAAAACTTACCTCAATATTCACTTCAGTATTTTGGGCAAAACAATCCTCAAGAAGAGATCTATTAAAAAACAATAATATGAATATCCATAACATAACTTTTTCTGGCAATCTCTATACATATGCACATTACCAATAAAAAAAAGTGCAATTATCTTTTTATCAACGATCCGAAAAGAAAAAATATTTTATGATATACATGTATATACAAATCAGATCTTAGATACAGATGTAGATCTGTATAATATAAGAAGTATTACAATGTCCTTCTCTTGTTATTATTTAACTAAATATCGATTGAAAATGTAATCATGATCATGATGATCCTTAACTGCATGTCCTTGTACGTATACATCACTAGTCTTACACTTTTAATACATAGACACTGCCTTATTCCATATCTTAACTCTTAATATTAATTACTTTGCCTAATTTGCTTTATATTTTTTTATTTTATTTTTAGAAATTCATAGAATTCTTACCTTGTTGTCATGATGCCATATTTGTCATAGAGTTATAGGGTCGTGTTAAAGTATTCACCAATTTCTAGTCCTGATTTGTTCCCGTGTTTGTTCCATTCGTGCTTCCTACAAATATAAGGTTAAAGATAGAGATTGGGTACGATCGATAGGAAAGTTCAAATATCCATTCAAACAACTCCAGTTGGGTCGATTGATTGATTGTATATTGTATAACGTCCCTCTTGAAATTTTTTCACTCATATGAGACGTCACCGTATGCCGGTGAAGGGCTTAAAATTTTGACCTATACTCGGTACTCAGGGACATTTAGCAGTGAGGGTTCTTTATCGTGCAAGCGCCTATCGTGACACGGGACCTACGCTTTTAAGGTCATATCCGAAAGACCGGTACCTTTCACATCTAGTGCCGAGCGCTTGGCGAAGGAACAATCACTTACTTTTTTAGGTATGACGCGGCGCTGCATTCGAGAATCGAACCCGGTCCTCTAGATCACGAAGCGAACGCACTAGGCTACTAATAGGCTACCATGAGCGGTCAATTCCACCAAGGAGCAGGAATGATCTTCTAAACATCATAGGTGGAATCAGAATCAATTCCGGTCAAACCTACCGTGTGCTTTTTAAAATCGGGAAAACGGAAAAGTCTTGTTACAGCTCAGGACATAAAACGGCCACAAAAGGTATTGAAAAGTGTCTGTCTGCAGTTGACGTAATTAGGGATTGGACACGCATCCCATTTTATTTTAATGTGTATTTAAATTTTTTGTAAAACATAAGTAATTTACAGGAATACAAAGTTCATGCTAATAAAACTGGGTTGTGAGACAACAACACATTTTGACTTACTTCCACGGTCAATCATATCTTCTTATAACACAAATTGAAAGAGAAAAAATATAAGCATATGTAAATTTATTTAAGGAATCTCTGTCTAGTTAGTATGGTATGCAAGAATATAAACGATAGTAGGGAAACTTAGATAATTTACACAACGGATTCCCGTTATGTATAAATATGTTCTCGTTTCCCATTATCGTCGATGTCCCTTGCATACTATACCAACTAGACAGATATTAAAATTACACAAGAAATCCCATGGCAATTTCAATAGTCCTCGCACAATGACGTCAAACACAAAGACATTCGCACGAGGTTTTCATGCATATCTAGCCTTATTAGCGTCATATGAGCGTCAGGCGCACGCGCACAAGATTGAAATGCATATTTGGCTTTCTTATGACCTGACTGATTTGCATAATTAACAAACCGGTGGAATTATCAAAAATTATTAAGAAATCAACTCCACGAACATTTGACGGTTTATCACAAAAAAATAGAAATTTTAATACCGGTACAATGTACACATCCACAATATCTTAACACTGAAAATCTCTCACCATTCGCTCCTTGAATGTCCAGCAACAAAAATTTAAGATCGGTTGTTGTAAAAACTAATTTTTAAAATTACAACATGTAATGAAACAATTCATTATTAAAAGGGCTGGGTGGTTATGGCCATTTTAGACTATAATAATCTCCTTTGGAAGAAGAGCTCCATATAAAGATATAAAAGAAAATACAACAATGATAAAATGTAAATTTACCGAAATTGTTTGAAGTTTTTCTTTGAAAAATTATAGTTGACAGGTTAAGATATCAGATCTTAAAACTTAAGTTGTCTGATGGGTAATTTGTTGACCTGCAACGACAAGACCAGTAAGCTTCTGCGTTTTGCTTCTCGTCGTAACATATAACTATTGATGTTTAAGTCTTTTTTAGGATCTAAAAAATAATTATATCCGCAATTCAAGGAATCCAAAGAACAAGTTGTGGAAATAACATCTAAAATGTTAAAATTTTCGGTATTTTTAATTTCCTGTGTGATGCAGTGGTTAGAGCGTCTGCTTAAAAGTCGCAAAGTGAGGAGTCAATCCTTACATCGCAGGTTCATATCCCATTGTGGGACGTCAACACTGGTTCTTCAGATGAGACCGTTAAAACCGAGGTCCCGTGTCGCAGTAGGTGCAAAAAAGATCCCTCCCAGTTCAATGGCCCTTCGTGCCGAGTAAAGGACAAAATTTGCAGCTCTCCACCGGCAAGTGGTGGCGTCTAAATATGAGTGAAAATTTTCTAGAGGGACGTTAAACAATCTACAATCAATCAAGCATTGATTTTAAATAATTTTAATTTATGTAAGTTAATTCTCTTCTTTAGTCTTCTCAAAATTAACAATTCCATCTCTAACCTATCGGAAATTTTGATGCTATAATTTTAAAAGTAAATATTTTCTTTTTAATGTTTTCAGAGAGACATTTTATTTTCATTAAAAGTCATTGTCAACTAGTTTGATAATATTTTTAAAAATTGTTAAAATGTATTTTGTACATATCCATAAAGTTTTTGTTTGTTGTCGCTAAGAAAACAAACCATGCTAATTGCTTAAAATTTTCAGTTACCAGAAATCAGCATTGATGCCAAGCAGGTTTGGCATATTTTGCGAAAGGCTTTCACTGTAGTCTTGTACCTGAAAGAAAGAAGTCAATTCAAAGTTACAGAATTTGATTGCTGAACTTTTCTTGCAAAATACTCCGCAACCGAGTCCTTAATTCTTCTTTACTCCTAGACATCAAGCAGTCAAATAGGCATGATTGTAAAAAGTATCGAACTTCCTACAAAAATGGGAAGTCAGGGCCTACCGGTCAAGGGATTATGATGTTTTGGTGGGATTATATAGAGTATTAATTAATATTACATGTAACTACGTACATTGTGCCTCTTTCAAAAATCAGAATTTCATAGACTCAGGGATTTTGGTATAAGTACTGGGCTTTATTAATTACATTTGAAAAATGCATAATTTCTTTTAAATCTCCTTCTCTGCTCCTATATATTAAATAAACTAACTAAGTATATAGTTATGCTAAGCAAGAATGTCTCTAAAAAATAGGAATATGAAAAAGGTTCTTGTTTTAGGACTGGGCTCTATTGATTTGTAGGGAAAATGCATTAATTCTTTGCACATCTTCTTCCCTGTCCCTGAATATTAGATAAACTTAATACATACAGTGTAAATATGATAAGCATGCGTGACTGCCTGAAAAAAAAAACTACAGACCGCATTGCGGAGTGGTTTGGATGTCTGTTCTAGAGTCGTGGAATAAGGAGTTGATCCTTACGTCACATGTTCGAATCCTGTTTTGTGACGTAGAAACCGGTCCTTTGAATCAGACAGCATAAACCGAGGTCCCGTATCGCAGTATGTGGAGACGTGAAAAGATCCCTTACTGCTCAATGGCCCTGTGTGCCAAATATAAGACAAATTTGGAACTCTCCACCGGCAAGTGTTGGTTGCTCCATATGAGTGAAAAAATCTTGAGATTGAAGTTAAAAACAAACAAGCAGACAAGCAAACTACCCGCGGGGTTATAGTTTAAATAAACTGAAATCTATACACGACTAGCTTTCATGCATTTTTTTTATTTTCGACCTGATTCGAAGAAAATAGAATTTAAAATGCCACTATCAAGTATTTTCCCTTTGAAGAGGCCATGTTCATTCATTTTTCAAAACTAAAAATCCCTTCACCCATGACTGTTTTGTAGTAACTTTGATTTAAATTGCGCGACTTGTTCTTGAAATTTTCAAACCTAAAAATGGTGACAGAGAGACAGAAACTGACCAATCGTATTGTGATAAGAAAAATTCAATTTAAATTTTAACTCAGATGTACTGTAAAGGTATTAAATCATCGAAGTAACTTTAAAAAAGAGAGGAAAGGGGTCGTTTCCTTTTCATTTCTTTCTTTAAACGTGTTACAAATAACTAAAATTCATGAAAGTAATTACCTTGTCTATATCAAATTCAGGACTGCTGTTATTGCAATCATCCCCGTCCTCCCTGAAAATTGACGTTAAAAAGAATTATTGAAATAGTTCTTAATAGATACTGAAATAAAGAATGGCATGTGTATATACGAATTTATACATGTATACTTCACGGAAATCGATATTACTGTTCCTTTTATATTGCTTTGTCAATCTGATAGCCTAATAAATGTCGTTTGATAAGTTGTTGAACTCCTTTTTAATTACCAGAGGCCATGAATTGTGAATCTATTGAATTTTCCATCGTTTTGATTTAATGATTCTTTAACGTCATCTCTACATTTCGACTTTCGCTGAAAAGAAAAAGACTTCTAATAAAGATGTGTGTTACGCATTTTTTAAAAACATTTTTTACTTCAAAGCATTAAAGTTAGGTAAGACATGCGATCGGTAATACACATCATTAAGCCTTATTATTGTCATTATAAATTACTACTCGAAAATGACAGAAATAAGCCAAGAGACATTCATTTCCTCAGAAACATCGTTTAATAAAAAGACAAAGATATACAAATGATTGGAGGTAATTCAGCACAAAAGTAAAGTTTAATATTATATTGTAAACTACATGTAGTATATGTATTTGCAGCGTGGAAACAGTTGAAACATGCATACCCGGCATAATAATATCTAGATGCCGTTAAAAAAGTGAAATTTTATGATATTTGAGAGTTCCATAAATGACTGAAATATTCTGTATAATAATAATTATTCTTTAAATAATTTATGTTTTACAATGTTGCTATTTACAAAAATCCATTTGTGTCAATATCTTCATATCTACTTTTATAATTATTTGAAAAATATACCGTCACCATAACAATGTATTAGATATTTAGCCATCTTATAGCTCAATTGCATAATTATAACTTTGTGTTAGATAGATAAGATCTGAAGTAATGTAATAGTAATATCTAGACTTATTTTCCATCGATAGAAATTGCATTAATTTTCATTCATTAGCTTCCTTGATTTTTACGATATTGACGTTTCATTATTAAATGCAATGGTAACTTAAGGTTGACTGACCAAAATCAAGGAAAAACTAGGAGACTTATTGTTCACAGAACAACAAGAGGTCTTCTTTGAATTTCAATTTTTAATATTTATATCTTTAGAATTAAATTTCAAAAAAAAGAAACCAGGAATGGCTTAAAAGAAGAAAAAAATGAAAATAAAAAAAATGGAGATGACCTTGACCTTTAACCTTTAAATAATACTCAAGGTCACAGGTCAAGGGTCACATTGTAATTTACCCCATGCCTATGTGACTAACAGTTTTAAAGTTATAAGGTTTAATTGAAAGTACAAAATCATTGAAGGACAGTAACTCATCCAGGGAGTCATCAGATCCTTTTGCACTTAAACATAAAAGTTGTGCCTAAAGTACCTTAAGACATTAGTGAAGGTTTCATGTCTCTGCGGTTTACGGTTTCAGAGCAGTAGCAATTACAAGCTTTTTCGCACAATTGGCGATAACTTTTATAAGGGTCAATCTAAAGGGTTAAGAATAAAACCAATGAATAGTTTTAAAAGCACATATTAGTGATTCAAACACAGATTGTATATGTATAAAGACAAAAAAAATATTTTTAAAAAAAAGCTCAATTTCTCATTTTTGGAATCAACTTGACCTTTGACCTTACATGAATTTAAAGGTCAATTAACCTTATGCAGTTGGTCTCATGCCTCTACGACTTCTCATTTAAAAAATAGTTAATTATTTGTAAAACTCAGAAACTTTCAGGGGCTATGACTCATTGAAGGGGTCACAGAATACTTTCAGAATGAATAAATTCCAGAGTCTTCTCAACTGGTCGAAGATGTAAGTGAAAGTTTCATACCTCTTCAGTTTACAGTTTCGGAGGAGTAGCAATAACCAACATTTCTTGTGAAAGGGGAAATAACTTCGAAAGGGGTCATAGTTCATACGCGTTGGGTCAAATTTGTCAATAACATTTAATGACCTTTACGATGAACAAAATGTCTTTTCGATAAATATCGAAAGAAAAAATCAGCGGAAGAAAAAATAGAATAATAGGAAAGAATAAGAAACAGAAGAAAATCAATAGGTCTTTCCACAGAAAGGTGGTAAGTCCTAATTTTATGTGTACGTACTTACCGTATTTTGCCCAGGGCAACGTTTTGGTTGACACACGGTTCTGGGCCATTGCAACGCTAGTTTTGAGTTGCACAGCATTTCGGAATTTACAATATTTCTGAAAAAAACAAGATATAATTTTGCTGTTGAAATAACTTTCATATTCTCTTTTATTTATCGTCTCCCAAAAAATGAAATTTTGTGTTTGTTTATGTGTGTCAATTTAGACTATTAACATTTATTCAAATATATAAAATGGCAACTAACATCAAAACTATATACTTTGGTTTAATGAAGTCAACTTTAGGTACTGGAAATTGTACATTCTATCTTGTTCCCTTCTTCTTATGAAAGTAATGATCCCTTCTAATTGTCAACAAAGTCAACTTTTTACCGTTTTTTTTTCATAAATACATTTGTATGTGTATACCCATTTATTATTTTATTTGTTTAAGAAAGAGGAGAAAATCAACTTACATGTAATTCTGAACGTAGAAAATTAAAAGAATTTGTTTCAACATCGTGTTCGGCTTTTTATCTGAAAAATAATTAATCTGAATATTATATATACATGTATATATAGTTTTACCTATTTCATGGAAATATAACGCTCATGATAAAACGGATCCGCAAAAATTTCTCAAAAACCCTCGAATACTTGGAAAATCAAGAGCCAACAGCTACATGCATCAATCCATAGATCAAAAGGTGTATCATTGGTTGAAGTGTATGAGACGAAAAATTAGGCTGGAAATTAACATAAAATTGACCAAAATAATCAATCAATTTTACAAACTTGAAGAGATGGAGAGACAGTGCCCTAGGCACGCTGTAATCCTATGTTTTTTAGGAAATATACATATATTAACTATTTTTGGCGAAGAAAACTTTTATTCAAATACGAAACAGGCCCATAGGCTAACTAGCTGAAAGCAAAGGCTATTAGAAAGAATGCATAAATGAGATGTGAAAAGTTATATTTTAGCTGAAATAAAGATATTCGTTGTCAATATTAAACAGTTGCATTATCAATATGTCTCTATTAATTCTTTTTTTTCTTGTTGTGGCAAAAAATGACAAAGTTTGCAGAATCAATGCATATTTTTGTTGGTAAGTTTTTCATCGATTCACCCTGATCGAAGAGTAACACTGAGCACTGAGCGAAGATATGACATAAAAAGCATGTTCAAATGAAACATCTATGAGTAAGTAATTAAGTAATGTATTGTGACATATATATATAGATATAAATTTATACACATAAAGTGACATATGTACATAATTGTTGTTTGCAAACTGTATAAAATAAAAATCAACATCTAGCCCCTCGGGCCTATATGCCACTTTAAATACAAATTTGACATACAACATATAAAGAAAATAAAGGACCAAACGTTATGAGATACACTAAACGACAAAGGACATGAAAAAAAAAACATAATTGTGTACATTTTGTATGCTAAGATTGGAAGTGCCTGATATATTAAAATATTGATGGATGAATAAAAGGTATAGATATAATGGACAGAATTCAATCTCCAAGTCCGTAAAACAATACGAAATAGGAGCAGAGCAAACACGGACCTCCGAAACATCAGGTGTGGTATCAGGTGCCATGAAGGAGTGTACATCCCCTGTTGACCAGTCACACTCGCCATGTGCTCCTTGTCATGATCGGGAAATAACGGAAAAAGACGTTGTCAGTTTAGTGTATAAATAATGGACTAAGAATAAGAATGAAAACATCACTCAGTATTTGATTCAATGATAAATTGTATTTGCTAATAAGATTACTGTATCGATCATACAACTTACGAAATGAAGACATTTAACGAGACAGTAGATATACTTGTTTCATCAACTTTCTTGTCAATAATTTACCCCAATTAAAAAATTGTTCATACGTAGAACATGCTCTTGCGTATCGAATCAACTGATAAACATATATACTCCGTGCGCAGGTGATGAAGGTATATTGCTGCATAAGTAAGGGAAGTTGACGATAGAAAAGTTAAATTCATCACGTATATTACATGTATATAGCTTAGTTGTTAGATAATGTTTAGCTTCTTTTCAAGTTAAATACCAAAGTATGAAACAGATGTGTCAGACTTTCTCATATTTTTAATCTCAAGCTCACCAGGTTTTATTATATCGACGAAGGTATGGAAATTACCATTGTTAATTGACAATACATCGTCGATATATCTAAATGTCGAGTTGAAAGCAAGCATCTCTATGATGTCAACTTAACAGTACTTACGTGTGCAATCAGAATGCGTTTTAACAAAATAATTTTGCAAATGACCAATGACCTGGTAAGTAAATTTACGAGTTTCATTTTTAATGACAAAGCAGCTGTCAATGGTATGAAGGAGCCTGAACTTTAATTCATCGTGGGGAATGATTGTGTATACAGTTGAAAAAACGTAAGTTTAAGCTGTTGATTTTGGCAAAATCTTGTTATTTCAAATTGTCTAAAAGTTCTTTAGAATGTTTTAGTATCCCTACCTGATTCACACTACTTTTAGATTATCGGTGAACAGTGCTTTTGAAGTTTTTCCTTCACAACTGTCAGTATCTTGGTGAGGAGTAACGAAAGAGGCTTCGTTGAACATTTACCGGAACCCACAATTTATATTTGTTTGTAAAGATGTTTATGAAGTTTCGGAATCCAATACTTGTTTATATAAAGGGTAAATCAAATTCATTTTGCCTCTGTGAAATATTGCAAATATTTAAAACTGAAATGTGATTTTTAAAAATTTCTTCCTTAGAAAGGGAGGTATAAGAAAAGGTAGATTGCTACTTGTAGAAATAAATCGAAATATTTCTAAAATACAATTTATATAATGAGACTTACAAACAAGACAATGTTGTTACGTGCCTTGACTGCAGCGACCAGTACGTACCGATCATGTTATCTATCTAATTCTTTTTTTCCCTTCTGGATTACTGAACAGTGAACACAGAAGGATATATGTTTTTTTTCATATTGCCCCTCAATCTTTTAATACGTGACTTTAACATAGATCTGATACATTTAATCCATTCTGACAAGGTGTTAACGTGTCCTTTTTTCATATCTGGGCCATCGTCTGGCGTAATTTTCAACAGAATCCACAATATTTTGAAATTCCGACGCCATTTGAAGGATCGGGGTTCCCTTTATTTAGGACCTTTAGAAATAAGTGACTTAAGGCTTTCATTATTACGGGAAGGATATAGAAATAACGAACAGTATTCAATCTCAACGTCAATTAAACAAATATACAAAAAAAGAGCAGAGCAAATACGGACCTCCGAAACATCAGAGGTGGGATCAGGTGCAATGGAGGAGTAAGCATATATCTACGTCATCTGTAATAACATGTCCAGCAGGACTATACATGTACGTAATAGGCGAAGAAGATTATGAACACGATGAAGGATTGTTTCAGATACTTAGTAGTCAGCCCATGTAAAGTTTTTTGCAATTGAAAAGTTTGGAAGCAATGGTCGATTTATATACAGTATATTTGTAGGAATTATCCAGTAAAAGGTGTTGTCTTTAACTTGCAAAAAAATGACGGAATACAAGACTGAACCCTTTTGTGATTAAGAATATTGTTTATATTTTCCGCGTCAATTCCTTTATTGGCATATTGAAGTTTAAGGAAAAGACTGATTGTTTTAGATGCTTTTTTCCGTAAAACGTGTGAGCTTTTAAAAGCCTATGATTTACAAAATCCATAATCACAGATCAGAGCTTATATTCAGAAGTCGTGGAATTAAAAATAGGACTTTCCTTGGCCTTTTCAAAAAGAATATTTAAAAGCTTCAAAGGCAGAGAATATAACACTGAAATACATTCTTATTTTCTGAAAAAAAAACCTGACTGTGTCCGCATATATGAAAAATACAAATACTTTGCAACCTGATGAAGATAATTTGAAATAGGTACATGTATGCTTAGTACATTGACATCTGACCATGTCATTTGATTTAAATCAGTGTTTCCAAAAAGGTTTTGATCGATATTCATAGAAAGAACAAGTCAAATAATGATTCTATCATTAAGTCAAATAATGATTTTATTCATTTGTAGTAAATTTCCATACATTATTTTCCCTGCCAAAAGTTGTTTTAAAATAGATATGTCAGCAATTTTGGAATGTTTAAAATCTCATTGCTCCAAAAGTTTGAGTAATAATTTTATATTTTTTAATGAACTTGGACACAAAATAAAAATCCAGCTCTATAGTTGGTGTAAAATATCTTTCTTTCAAATCACTGCACCAGATAGTCCACCTAGATTGTTTTCAATTTCAAAAACTATTCTTGTAATCCGATCTTTGTCAAAGGATAAATTCCAATATCTGAATATATTACCTAATTAATAAATTAAAATATTTATCAAACGCCAGAATATATTGACTGGGAATCCATACAGTGTCTCTCTCAACCCCAATGTGGGAACAAAATGGTGTACCATCATAAACTCGCAAATAGCTCTATTTTGAATATTATCTACGGTTTGTAATTCTTTGAAACTCCAGACACTGAATGGATAATCCAAAACAGGCATTTCAAGAGAGCAAAATAGTTTTCATAAGCATTAAACCTAGAAAATTTATTACAATGCATGAATATCCCCCTGCTTTACCACGATGTTCTACATTTTTCAAAAAATTACCAGGGTGTGTGAACGTTTTACCTACATACATATAATTCTCAAATGTTTCAAACTTACTCAGTCTAATAGAGAATTCAAATCTGGTTGCTCTTGACCTAGTTTTATTAGAATCTACGCAGTTGGATTTATCGGTGTTGATGAGAACTCTTAAACGTCTACAAAGCTATGTAGTTCATCTTATATACTATGAAACTTTTCTGGAACTTGGCTTTCAAAGCAATGTCATCTGATTATAATATTGAGATAAATAATTTTGTATCTAATAGTTCTATGCCTAAAATAAGTTTATTTATATCATATACCTATTATTTCATGAAAATTGAAAACAAGGTAGGGGATAAATCACACAGTATCTCCCTGTTTAACAACAGTTTTTTTCACTTAAACCATTTCGTGACCTTTAACTCTTACAAAAGATTCTGAACTTTTGTATATTTTTTTTTATCAAGCTGTTACCTTCAATTTATGTAACAAAAAATTATAAAACATCATATTTCTATTGAAGACCAATAAATGTAACATTGATATTTTTTACTAAACTACTCAATGTAAACAAACGATCTTAAGACGATATATTTTAACGTTCTGAATGTAAGGGTAATCTTCTTGACAAATACAAGAGGCCCATGGGCCACATCGCTCACCTGCATAACTTGGGTGTTGACGTTCTTTACCAGATTTCCCCTCTTGCTATAACTATCATGCCCCCTACCCCTCCTTTTTCATGATTTTAATACTTTAGAATCAACACTACCCCAGGATGCTTTCACATATGTTTCAACTTTCCTGGCCCATTGGTTTTTGAGAAGAAGATTCTTCAAGATTTTTCCTAAATATTTCTATGTAAAATTTATATTCCCTTTTGTGGCCCCGCCCTTCCCCCCGG